TGGTGGCTGACTAAATACTTTTTTGCCCCACTGTATATACATACATACACGCACGCACACACACACACACACACACACACAATATTTTTTCAAAATGTTTTTCAGAGGCAAGAAAATGTCCAATCTTACAGTATCGTACAGGCTAAATTAACAGCAATTAACAGCCTAAAATAGTTTTTTAACCTAAAATAGTTTTATTTTTATTTATAAATTTTTTTGGAACATTGCAAAGTATGTTCTTTGCTGATTTTTATTCAAACGTGTTATATGTTCACACGTTACAGACAACTAATAAAGTTTTTCTTCAAATGAGACATGAATATTTTTTTTCTTGGATTGCAATATATAGAAAGCAAATATATTTTTACATTTATATTTTATATATATATATATATGTAAAATGAAAAATCATAGCAACTAGTAAAAATGGATTATAGGACAATTGGAAATCGATCGTAGAAAATTTGACTTTTATGGCTTCAAATAGTAGGGAAAAATATCTCTTCTTTATCAGAGATACTGCACAAAACAGAGACAGATCCTCATTAAACAGATGTGATCAAAGTCTAGCCATTGGGAAAAAAAGAAAGAAAAAAAAACAGAAACTGACAAGCATGGCTTCAAAAAGAAGAAAGGGTCAGTGAGGTTGATACAGAGAGCACATATTCTCCTACTTCCATATATTTCATTACACAAGAATGAAATACTTTGAAAAACTTTCCCATTTCATTCCACATGTCAGAAAACCATCAGAAAAAGATCAAATGCAGGGTGGCCAATTATCAAGCATCTGTCACAGCAGGACTCAAATGAGCTGAACACCCTCAGAAACCAATTACTGCTATGATCTTCATTTTCAACAGTTATCTGTACCAGAATATTTTCAATGATCTGTAACAGAATGTTCGGTTTCTCTAGATCAATTGGGACAGGGTCTAAATCGCACCGAGAAACTATATTGAACCCCTGGGTTTTACCATGATTGACTTTAATCAAGAGAGACTAAACACAAACATTAAGGCCTGGATGCCCTCATGAACTGAAATTCTGTGAACTAACATAATTTTATTGTCTTGGCCGAAAGCATTCACAAATACCATCACTATTACTCCTAAAGGCAATGAAAATACGGGGTCTTTAAATTAGTAATTTTCTAGTTCATTGACTTTAAACATCTGATGTGCATCTGTAGCCAGTGATTCACATTTTGCAATTCTGCACTTTATACTTCTCATTTTCTGTAGACTAAATTATTGCATTGGGTTGCATGTTCCAGTCTAGCTCACAGTGAGAATCCAAATTACATTGCTCATATTGCATTTGGCCTGCCAATTTGTATAGCCCCACCCCTGAAGAGAAACACCTCTGTGGCCATATATATATATATATATATATATGTGTGTGTGTGTGTGTGTGTGTGTGTGTGTGAGACCCAGAAGCACAAAACCAGTCATAAGGGTCCATTTTTTTCTGAAACTGAGATTTATACATCATCTGAAAGCTGAATAAATAAGCTTTACATTGATGTATGGTTTGTTAGGATAGGACAATATTTGGCAGAGAAACAACTATTTTAATATCTGGAAACTGAGGGTGCAAAAAAAAAAAATCGAAATATTGAGAAAATCGCCTTTAAAGTTGCCCAAATGAAGTCCTTAGCAACACATATTACTAATGATAATACATTTTTTATATATTTACTGTAGGAAATTTGCAAAATAACTTCATGGAACATGATCTTTACTTAATATCCTAATGATTTTTGGCATAAAAGAAAAATAATAATTTTAACCCATACAATGTATTGTTGGCTGTACATATATGTGACCCTGCCTGCGAAAACCCAGCTAAAGTCATTTTTTTGTGATTTACTGTTTTCTACATAAAATCATCCTTCATAAAGATGTAGAACATTCTGTGAAAATATGACCTTTATATCTTTAATATTGACTAAGGCCATGTCAAAGATTGAAATCATAGTGAAATTAATGGTTTAAATCAAACTTTGATGCTTGTTATTTCATAATTAGATTTTGAGACTTTAGCCTGGATTTCACAGACAGGGTCACATATATGAATATAGTCATAATAGAGTGGTGTATCTGGTATTGTAATTAATTGGTGTAAAAGGTTTCAGTGTGCTGGAACTCACATAACCACTAAAAACTAAAACAATATCTAGTTTGTAGTACATCTCTCTAATATATATATGGGTAAGAGTCACTATGGAGGAAAAGTACCATCTATTTTCATCCTCAATTTGTAATCCAGCTGCTTTTGACAGATGTTCAGTTTGAATATTTGCTGAAATGTATTGTTTTTTTTTTTTAAATATGATATTTTCCACCAGAAACTACTAAGCTATTTATAGTCTTTTAGTAAATATAGTCTTAAAGTTTTTTGTTAAGGGTGTATTAAACATGCATAATTCATGAAGACAATAAAATGTGCTGAATAATAGCCATGTTTATTGATAACACAAGACAACAATTAAAAATATAAATGAATAAACACATTAAACCCATGCTATGCTATTGCTTGTCATGCTGCGTTTTGATAAATGCTTGTCATAGACCTCGTACAAGTGATTCAAAAAACAGTGATTTCCAAATGCATGACTTTACAGCTTCAAGAAAGGATTATGGATTTGCTGCTTTTTTAATGACTCAGATGCATTTTAGGAGAAATGAGTTACAGTTAGATCCTCTGACACATTCGCACAATTTCCCAAAGCGTGGACCCAGTCTCATGGCGCAGCGGGAGCCCACGGCACACTGAAGAGAGAGAGAAAGAATGATCAGATGTGAAGATCATAATCAGGTTTGTTTTGAAGGAAACTTTTAATAACTTCTAATATGAAAACCATGAAGATAACAAGGAGATGGAGCAAAATGTACCTGTGGAATGCCACGTTTTTCTGAAGATGGTAAATGAGGCTGATATCTTCCCAAAAGTGCTGTCATAGCCTCAACCTATATGCAAAAACATAAGTATCCATAAGCAACCGAATGAGATATGAATGAAAATACATGAAAAAAAGTGAAAATGTAGCCAAAATAGAAACACAAACAAGTTTGACACTTCACCAACCAATTATTCAGTCTTTGGTTCACAGATAATAACTGACCACACGTTTCACTATATAAAAATACGCTACAAAGAAAAACAAACAAATAGCTATAAAAAGGCATTTTACCTACTCACCAATTCGTTCTCCATTTCCTGCTGGGACAGTTGTGTGTCTGTGAGTTCCTGGGATGTTTGTCCGGAGCACAGGACGGTAAAGAGCACGACTATGGTCAGTATCTCTGAGCTCATCATGGTCCTGACTCCTGAGTTCAGTCAGCTGCCTGGGCCAGGTCACAGTCACAGCACACTGAGCTGTGGAGGGTCGGGCTACTTAACAGTTCACTGGCTGTTTTATAAACTGATATGCCCCGCCCTGACTACGGTTAACGGATTATATTGGGTCAGCTATTGGTCAAAGGATATTTAATTTGCTGACGCTGAGATTGGAGCACAAACAAACAGTTTATTGCATGTTCAATAGTAATTCTCCTGCCTGCTCTCATGTAATGTAGCCTACCTTTGACGGCATACTGCAGCTGTAGATGTAGCACTAATAATAGAATAGAACAAAGCAAAATAATATTTCATGTTTTATATAAGGAAAAAAAAGAAAAAAAAGCAATATTCTAATATTGACATTTAGCCTATATTGACTAAACTTACCCCTAGCATCCATCTGATACAATATCGTAATTCTCCTGCCTGCTCTCATGTAATGTAGCCTACCTTTGACGGCATACTGCAGCTGTAGATGTAGCACTAATAATAGAATAGAACAAAGCAAAATAATATTTCATGTTTTATATAAGGAAAAAAAGCAATATTCTAATATTGACATTTAGCCTATATTGACTAAACTTACCCCTAGCATCCATCTGATACAATATTGTGATTTATTTATTGAAGTTAAAAGAAGCTCACACTGGTGCCGGATCGTTAGGTAGGCCTATCAGTCATTCTTGAGAAGTGGGACATAACAGGGTGCAAAATTGAAAAAATAACACCTTGTACTCAAAAAAATGAAACTACATTTATGTATCTTATATGTACTAAGCTACTGAGCTATGCTTTGATACAATCTCCCAACTTTTCTCTTTTTTAACAAAATGTGCTTTTATTTTTTTCTGTTGATGCTAGATGCTAATGGAACCTGCTTCAGGAGAATACAATTATCTAAATATTTCAAATAATTTCCTCAGAAATTGGAAGATGGTGTTGACATATCATGGCTGTGACACAGGAAATATTAACATTAGGATTTAAAATATTCTAAAACTAAAACTTAGCAGAGCCTGATGTACTCTGCAGAGGTGAACTGTGGCTAGGGGGTCCTTTAGAGTGACCGCTGCCCCTGATATTCCCTGATTTTATTACATTTTATTGAATGTCTGACGGTGTTGACAAAAAGTGGGGACACAACTTTAAAATCTTATGAAACATGCATGTGTCATTAAAGAAAACAACATTGCATTGATAGGATATATTATTAAGTGTTGCTTTTGATAAAACATGCTCTTTTTCATCATTAAAAAAACATTTTTATCCATTTTATTGCATATGAATGATTGAACCCTTCTCTGAGGACACACTGTTTTAGACGTAGTGAGAGGACATTAAGAAACACAGATTTGGTATAATAATGAGAAAATTAAATTGAAGGTGATAATTGTGTTAAATACATTCTATTATTAATCCCTCACGACATTTAAAATGGAAAATATGTTTATTTTTTAAAGCTAATAGCAGTTACCCTTGCTGGACCTGTTTTGTCCCACGTCTCAAGAATGACTGATAGGCTATTTGTGTTGACATTAAATCCTTTTTGGAATTTCACAGCCTTCGTCCTGCTGTGTAACTTCTGAAACAAACCAGCTTTTTATAGGCTACTTTTATTATTGTTATTTCTGCCGTTTGTATGAGCTTTCTTATTTGAGAAGACTCGTGGAATAGAGAGAGAGAGAGAGAGAGAGAGAGAGAGAGAGAGAGAGAGAGAGAGTTAGGCTATATATAGAGAGAGGTAAATAACAATTTATAACCATTTAACCACACAGTGAACTAGTGAACACAGTGATATATATAAATAAAGTTTGAAACAATAGGAAATTAAATTGTTATTTTTGTTGTAAGTTGCATCCGTGTGGATCAGTTCTGTAGCTCCTCGATTAGCAAAGACATTTCCTCGTGTTTTATATTTGTTTGCATGCACTGTAAGTCGCTTTGGATAAAAGCGTCTGCTAAATGCATACATTTAATTTAAATGTAAATTAAATAATACGACAACTTAAATTTAAATATGATATTCTGTACATGTTTACTTTATTAAGTTAAGTTATTTTTAATAAAACTTATTTAAAATACAAATATTATATTATAAAAGAAAAATTCTTAGTTATCCCAGGCCCCTTGGAAGTTTGCTTGAGGCCCTCTGCTGGAGAATCACAAAGTGCTGTGGCAGACTATGAGCAATGTGGGCAGTAGAAGGCGCTGCAGTCACAGGTACAAGTTTTGAACTGATATTCTTGAAATGGGTGTTTCCTGAAACGCATACTTCAGGATTTAGGAAGGAACACGCCTATGACATCAGTGGGTTTTCAAGAAAAAAAGTCGCTGAAACTGTGCAGCAAAGTAAGAAGGGGGCCAGAGGTGCCTTCTCGAGGTCTAAATATAAATCCTAAAGGACTCAGATCTGCATCGAGAACTCGCAAGGGAAATAGGACTTGTAAACTTTTTGAGAAGACATGTCAACTTCGGACGACACAGACGGTTTCCGACCTAGATATGGGTGTAAGTACTAATGCGTTTTCTTCAGGCGTTCTCCTGAAACGTGATGCTCAGTGTGTTACAAGAAAGCTTCTAATTTCAATGAATGCAAATGCTTTAATACAAAGAGAGTGTTATTCTGTTGATTTTATCCAATTACCCTTTCTTTTAATGCTCAAGTTTGCATCGGCATGGTTTACAACTTCCGTATTATAATACTGTATGTGCGGGATCACCTGGACAACTTTTTTCAACAATCATGCGTCTTGTTTTCACTGTAATTTTACATAAAGCATCAAAACATCCTCACTCTTTCTCTCTGCTGAACCGCAGTACTAATCAAGCTTACATCAATTGCGCGTCAAACGACTGTGCAACATACTGTCTGTAATCTAGACAAGACCGTTGGAGAAACATTTTTGTCAAGTCGCCAGTGGTTTGGATCTAGCCCACAATGAAGCTCTCTCTCTCTCTCTCTCTCTCTCTCTCTCTCTTCTCCTGAAACGTGATGCTCAGTGTGTTACAAGAAAGCTTCTAATTTCAATGAATGCAAATGCTTTAATACAAAGAGAGTGTTATTCTGTTGATTTTATCCAATTACCCATTCTTTTAATGCTCAAGTTTGCATCGGCATGGTTTACAACTTCCGTATTATAATACTGTATGTGCGGGATCACCTGGACAACTTTTTTCAACAATCATGCGTCTTGTTTTCACTGTAATTTTACATAAAGCATCAAAACATCCTCACTCTTTCTCTCTGCTGAACCGCAGTACTAATCAAGCTTACATCAATTGCGCGTCAAACGACTGTGCATTGGAGAAACATTTTTGTCAAGTCGCCAGTGGTTTGGATCTAGCCCACAATGAAGCTCTCTCTCTCTCTCTCTCTCTCTCTCTCTCTCTCTCACCTAACGTTAGAAGTGTTGCGTGTCTTTATTATAAGCGGAAAGCAAATCACCAAACGCCCAAATGAAGGTCAAACGTCCCTCCCAGTGACTCCAAAAAAGCCTCTTTGTATCGCGCACTGCTATTTATTCTTGGCTACTATACTGCTATTTATCTACCAAACTGACTTTTTATGGAGAGTTACTTTGCTACTGTGAAGGCGGTTAACTGTTTCTGGTACTAATGCAGTTTCAATGATCTATTTTACTAGGCGACAGCTGCCAGACCACTCAATTTTCTAAGCTTGAAATATAAAGTATGCCACTTTAGTGCAGAGAATTGTGATTCATCCCAGTAAACCGAATCTTCTAAATCAGTTCACTAAAAGAATCACTTAGATTCTCTCGCTGAATTCTTTTCGTTAAAGGGGTCATATGATGTTGCTAAAAAGAACATTTTATGTTGTGCATTTGGTGTAATGAAATGTTTATGCGGTTTAAGGTTAAAAAAACACATTCTTTTCCACATACTGTACATTATTGTTTCTCCTCTATGCCCCGCCTTTCTGAAACGTGTCGATTTTTACAAAGCTCATCGATCTGAAAAGCGAGGTGTGATCTGATTGGCCAGCTATCCAGTGCATTGTGATTGGCCGAATACCTCAAGCGTGTGATGGAAATGTCACGCCCCTTAACATACTGTGATGCCTGCGGCAACCACATGTGACGACCACGGGCTGGTCTCCGCTTCATCCACGGTGAAAGCCGATCCACAGCGAAGTTGAAGCATTCCCTCAGCGAACAGCACGGATCAGCTCTAGGCAGACGAAGCAGATATCGTCCTCTTTTGGAAGCCCAAACAAAGTAGTTTCGCTTTCACATCGAAACACACAGTGCCTTCACGACATTGCAGCGGCGGCAACAATACTACAGCGAGAATAAAAGTTACGCCTTCTTTCTTTGCGTGAACATTTGGGCAGCGTTATGCAAATCTTCCCACATAGTGAGGTAGATATGTGGGGGCGTGTTAGAACGAGCCGTTTTAGGTAGGTGTGGCTGACTCTTAACTTTTATAAAGAATATCTCTTTGGATTTGAGACTTTAGTCTTTGCAACTTTGCAGATATTCTTTTTGCTCCAAGAGCTTGTAACACTCCAAAGAGAAAGGAAAAATTGAAATGGCATCATATGACCCCTTTAAGTTGCATCGTTAAGGCGGCGGGTGGAGACGAGTCATCGAATCATTCACTCATCTGATTCGTTAAGAACACTTGGTTGACTGAAACAAGTGAAAGGAAAAATTGAAATTGCATCATATGACCCCTTTAAGTTGCATCGTTAAGGCGGCGGGTGGAGACGAGTCATCGAATCATTCACTCATCTGATTCGTTAAGAACACTTGGTTGACTGAAACAAGTGTCTTGTCCAAATACCCACACATGCGGTCTTGGCCACTTGAGAGCGCGTGCGCGCGACAGGAAGTAAGTGGGCAAGGCTGTCCCAGGTCTTAAAAATACCAAAGCACAGTACCCTTAATGCACACTAAACCCACACTATTTTGAATACTGCTCCAGAGCTTAGTGTATCCCATCATGCATCATGTTCTGGAAATAAATCGTGAGACTTTGCCGAGGTCTGGCGAGAGGTCACTGAAACCTTTCCAATGGATGTTAAATATTAATGATAATTAGATATTACATATAATTTGCTACTAAAACAAAGGGTTGCACGTTTTATTGGTGCAAATGAGTAGTGGTGATATTTATTTTGTGCAACATTTGCAACTGCTTTTTATCATTTAATTAGAAGCACCACAAAATTAAATTGTCATCTGTTATAGAGACACTGAACAGACATTTAGAAGTTGATTTTAAAATGCAAAGTATTGAAAATAAAAATAAAGCTCTGTAAACACTTTTACAACACTATAAGTGTGTCCTATCAGGTAATGAAAAGTTCTACACACACTTGTGGTCTTCATGCTCACTTGAACACTTAGACCAAATACAGGAAATACGTCATATAAGCAGTGGCGGCTCGTTATGGCTCGCACAGCTTCCCCATAATTTTGAGGTGAAAATGGGAGGAGGATGATTTAATTAGCCCACAATGAAGCTCTCTCTCTCTCTCTCTCTCTCTCTCTCTCTCTCTCACCTAACGTTAGAAGTGTTGCGTGTCTTTATTATAAGCGGAAAGCAAATCACCAAACGCCCAAATGAAGGTCAAACGTCCCTCCCAGTGACTCCAAAAAAGCCTCTTTGTATCGCGCACTGCTATTTATTCTTGGCTACTATACTGCTATTTATCTACCAAACTGACTTTTTATGGAGAGTTACTTTGCTACTGTGAAGGCGGTTAACTGTTTCTGGTACTAATGCAGTTTCAATGATCTATTTTACTAGGCGACAGCTGCCAGACCACTCAATTTTCTAAGCTTGAAATATAAAGTATGCCACTTTAGTGCAGAGAATTGTGATTCATCCCAGTAAACCGAATCTTCTAAATCAGTTCACTAAAAGAATCACTTAGATTCTCTCGCTGAATTCTTTTCGTTAAAGGGGTCATATGATGTTGCTAAAAAGAACATTTTATGTTGTGCATTTGGTGTAATGAAATGTTTATGCGGTTTAAGGTTAAAAAAACACATTCTTTTCCACATACTGTACATTATTGTTTCTCCTCTATGCCCCGCCTTTCTGAAACGTGTCGATTTTTACAAAGCTCATCGATCTGAAAAGCGAGGTGTGATCTGATTGGCCAGCTATCCAGTGCATTGTGATTGGCCGAATACCTCAAGCGTGTGATGGAAATGTCACGCCCCTTAACATACTGTGATGCCTGCGGCAACCACATGTGACGACCACGGGCTGGTCTCCGCTTCATCCACGGTGAAAGCCGATCCACAGCGAAGTTGAAGCATTCCCTCAGCGAACAGCACGGATCAGCTCTAGGCAGACGAAGCAGATATCGTCCTCTTTTGGAAGCCCAAACAAAGTAGTTTCGCTTTCACATCGAAACACACAGTGCCTTCACGACATTGCAGCGGCGGCAACAATACTACAGCGAGAATAAAAGTTACGCCTTCTTTCTTTGCGTGAACATTTGGGCAGCGTTATGCAAATCTTCCCACATAGTGAGGTAGATATGTGGGGGCGTGTTAGAACGAGCCGTTTTAGGTAGGTGTGGCTGACTCTTAACTTTTATAAAGAATATCTCTTTGGATTTGAGACTTTAGTCTTTGCAACTTTGCAGATATTCTTTATGCTCCAAGAGCTTGTAACACTCCAAAGAGAAAGGAAAAATTGAAATTGCATCATATGACCCCTTTAAGTTGCATCGTTAAGGCGGCGGGTGGAGACGAGTCATCGAATCATTCACTCATCTGATTCGTTAAGAACACTTGGTTGACTGAAACAAGTGTCTTGTCCAAATACCCACACTTGCGGTCTTGGCCACTTGAGAGCGCGTGCGCGCGACAGGAAGTAAGTGGGCAAGGCTGTCCCAGGTCTTAAAAATACCAAAGCACAGTACCCTTAACGCACACTAAACCCACACTATTTTGAATACTGCTCCAATTCACAATGAGCAATAGCTACATTTGCTACAGAAGTTATTAATCTTTATTTAAAAAATACAAGTCTTAGTTCATGTTAGCTCATTAAATAACACAGTTGCAACTTTCAATTTTAACAATGTGTTATTAAACATGGGAAGACCTGAGATTAATGAATGTTCAGAAGAATTTTGGCAGTTTATGTTAACTAATGAATTAACTAATGAAGCCCTAATGTAAAGTGTGACCGAACAATAAAGAATCAAAACACTTTCTAACAATATCTAGGGCATGTTGTAGTCCAGATTAAAATGTAAAAAAGATTGAAAATAAATAGCCTATAAAGTCTAAATATTTAAGTATTTGGCTCCGTGATGAACATCATAGCAAATACACAAATCTGAATGGCTGTTTAAATCATTTAAACAACTTCCAGAAACAGAAAGTAGTGCAGCTGCTTTGTTTACAGGGTTTCCGGGGTAACGGCTGCATTAATTATTATTATTATTATTATTAATATTATTTCTGCAGTTTAGGCCATCTGCTGTCAGAGAGTGAAAGTGTGCTTTCATCCAGAGCGTCTCTCACATGTTCCGCCACGTGCTTCTCGTCCGCGCTTATTTACAGAAATTATATTATCTTGCTGTATATATGTCGTTTTCTTTATGTTTTCTGACTAAAAGCAACCAAAAAGCCATTTTAAAGTGGTTAAGCAAATAATAATAATAATCGGCAGGGATCCCAGACCAATACAATTAGTGTGCCTCCTCTATTTTAAAACCCACGAGCCGCCACTGCATACAAGTAGTCAAGTGCAAAGACTGCAAGTGCGGGTATTTGGACAAGTCAAAGGTTTTAAACTGCACAAGTTTAATCAAACTATACAATCAAAATGACAGTTTAAGTAAATAGTTTAATGAGTAAGTCACAGATTTTCAGCCAGCTTTGTATTGTTACAGTCTTAATAGTATATGCCTGTAGTAGTATATGTACATGAATAAGATGTACTTTTACTCTGTGTTAACTGCACTTGGATATCCCCATTTATTTACCAGTAAAAGTTCGCTTGATGTCGTTGATGTTGTATCCCGCTCACATTAAGCCTAGTGCATTATGGATGTTGAAGGTTTCCAACCGTTTTGGAAATGTCACATCCCTTTTTCTGTTTTCTCTAGTCATGTCACCAGCAGTGATTTACCCCTTTAAGTAATGTTTTTAGGTGACTCTAATTCTGGATGGTTATCAGTAACTTTTACACATTCAGAATTATTCCGTTCATAACCATTTATGATTCGTCATAAATATTCCCCTTTTTAGAGCTAATAAATAATAATAAACGTTACATAAGCAAACATTGTTGTTGTTAATGTAGGGGTTCTGGATAACTCTATCTGTTTACATACTGTGTCACACTTTAATTCAAACGACACATTCAGAATTATTCCGTCCCAGCTTTGCTTCTTTGCAGGATTGACTTGCATGACAAACTAAGCAAACATTGTTGTTGTTAATGTAGGGGTTCTGGATAACTCTATCTGTTTACATACTGTGTCACACTTTAATTCAAACTGAGAGATGGAAATGAATGATAATGGTTTGTTCAGAAACAGATTGTTTCACAAATGAAATGGCACATTTCACTTATGTTTTAAAACTAGTTATTACTTACAAGTATAGGGTAATTGTAGGCTTGAGTTAGTTGACCTCTGAACAACAATCATTTGGTGGTTGAATGAATCATATAATTGTATTACCTTCTAGACTTTTCTCTGTATCCAGAGGAAAAATGGCATCAATGGTCTTGTTTTTGGACCTAAAACAGTCCCTGAGGAAGGGTATCACTGGAAATGACATAGTATCTAAGGACTATCCTCGTCATAGTTCAGTTCACGTTTGAACATGCCAACATTTCATTTGAATTGGGGTTTCTTTGCCGTTTGTTGCAGGGCAAATGATTGTTTTTAGGCTTCATAATTCAAATACTGTTGTTCTGAGGTTTAACAACATGCCGATTGTTCAGCTGAAACATCTTTTGAATAAAAACTTTCAAGAAAACAAAAGCTCCAAAAACTATTTTGAAAATTCTATGTGATGGACTTTTATACAGCCTGTGGTATATTGAAAAGGCTTTAGGTTTGTCCCTCACAGCATCATTTTATAATTTCTTCATTTACATGAAAATATGGCATCTTTAACAACATGCCGATTGTTCAGCTGAAACATCTTTTGAATAAAAACTTTCAAGAAAACAAAAGCTCCAAAAACTATTTAGAAAATTCTATGTGATGGACTTTTATACAGCCTGTGGTATTGAGAAGGCTTTAGGTTTGTCCCTCACAGCTTCATTTTATAATTTCTTCATTTACATGAAAATATGGCAATATGGCATCTACTCTGACTAAGGTCTTTCACAGACACATGTGTATTTCTTCTAGGGATGTAACGGTATGAACATTTCTTATCACGTTTATAGTGACCAAAATAATCACAGTTATCAGTATTATCACGGTATTGTTAAAATGTGCTGGAGATGTTCTAAAGTACCGACACATAAATCACTTCACCAAGTTTTATATTTAAAAATCAACAAACGACAAATAAAATGACTTTTTTGTTTGCATAATCACTAAAACAATAACATTACCAGTGATGTTCGGATTTTAAATGACAACTTGACCGACAACAGTTTAATAGCATGTTGAAATATCTAATGTAAATGTTCAAATAAAGCTTTGAAAAAGTTTCATAAAAAGGTAAACCTCACATTTCAGCCTTTAAATAAAGAAAATATATTTTGATAATTGATTAATAAATGATAATGTATTTTATCTGCTCCATAAATAATTCTACATAACTTATCTGAATTGTTTAAATGTGTAGAATCCACATAAGCTTGTTTTTCATCAACCGGTCAAAATTTACAGAAGGGGATGCAAATTCAGTCCGTTTTTTTGGCCAGACAGAAACTGCACACAGGCTGAATGTAAATATAAGTCTCTGTAAATCCACTCGCTGACAGCAGGTGGCGCTTATGGAAAAGCAGAATTACAGCTGTTTCCCGTAACCTCCGTGGACAAAGCAGTATTGCGATTAAGAACACTTCCTTTAGGTATTACAGAGCGAAGATGAAAACAAAATGCCATCGAATCGTTTCTGAAGACAGTCAGAACCTTCAGAGGTACATTCATATAATTCATTCATTCATTTGTATAGTTCCCTTAGCACTCTTTTAAAACCTCCCAGCTTTTCCGCCCTGTTTTCACTCAAAACAAAACTACTCTGTGTGCTGTGCGCACGTGAGACTGTTATTTAAAACTGTGCTTTATGCTGGACAGTATTTATTTATCGTGAGTTGTTCAAATCGCGGTAATCTAATATGGTTTTAATGATAATTAAAAGATGAAACGGTAATACTAACCGTGGGGAATTTTATCATGATTTACCGTCAAATCGGTAATCGTTACATCCCTAATTCCTTCTATCTGAAATACAGTATGTGCAGCCATTTACAGTAATGATTAGATTTATCTTCTTTTTCCACTTGATATTAAAACCTATTAAATTATTTCAGTATGTGGAATAATCACAGATCTTAAGGTTGCTAGAGGTCAGGCATGCAAGACATGTTATACATTACAAAGTTTGCATAAACTGCTAAAACTGTTTGTTTAGAGTGGAGCAGTTAAGTTACATTTTTGAGAGCCACTAGGCTATATCTAGTGAATATGTACAGTAAGAGACAAATATATCTATATGCTACTGTTCAAAATATGCACTTATATGCTCACCAAAGACTGCTTATTTGATCAAAAATACAGCAAAAACAGTAATATTGTAAAATATTATTTCAATTTAAAATGGTCGTTTATTTTTGTTCTTCTGTGAATCTTCAGGGCCTCGTGATCCTTCAGAAATCGAGAAACATTTCATTTTATCAATGTTGAAAACAGTTGTTATACTTAATATTTTTCGATTTTTTTTTTTTCAGGATTCTTGATAAAAGGAAAGTATTTGAAACCGAAATCTTTTGTAACATCATAAATGTCTTTACTGTCACTTTTGATCAATTTAATGGCTTTTTGCTGAATGGGAATCTTGCTGACCTCAAACGTTTGAATGGTAGTGTGTCAAACCCATCACCGTATCTCCAGCTCTCTGAAGTGTGTGTTTTAATCTCACGTCTTGTATATCTGCCCCTCTCATTTTAGCTGTTCTGGATGGCATGGAGCGGCTCACTGCTGAGGAGATGGATGAGCGGCGTCAACAGAACATGGCTTATGAATACCTGTGCCATTTGGAAGAGGCTAAACGGTAAGAGACCAATTCTCCATTTCAGCCTCTCGGCAGTTAAGTTAATTCATGATGGTTAACACAGAGTGTTTCGCTTAAAATAGCAGTTTAGCTTTCAGTCGGTGGTTGTTTAATGTCTCTGTGACGAATACTTGTCTCCTGTTTGTGGGTGTCTTCACTGCATGTCCCAGCAAGACCCACTACAGTGAATTTCTCAATAACCCAGACTCTCCATGAAGCTCTGAATTCTTATTTCAGTCTATGGCTTAAACTTTAAAGAGATTTTTTTTTTTTACAAAATACAAAAACACCACCCGATTACTTGTCACATTTGTTCTTAAACATTATTGGTTGTTAAAATTTTAAAACACAATTTAATTTAACTGTATAAGCTAGGGCTGCACGATTAATCAAAATTAAATCGCAAAGGTGATAAATCACGATTAGGCAGAAGCTGCGATTGTCATGCTTATCTTTCAGTGAAGCACAGTTCTGTGATCAGCAGTAAATCTCCATCCGAAGGCCAGAGGGCGCTCTCGCACGGAAACTCCAAATACGCCTGCTGAAGAAACCCAGGAAATCCCTATAGCGGTTGCTGAATAAACAGAAGATTTAACTGCTTTCATTAATTCAACGTGATTAATAAACACGACTTTGACAATATATGGTTTATCTGAGTTTGTTTTATTATTATTGTTATTATAATAAAGTATTTAATAATGCAATGCTAATCGACATAGCCTTTATCACTGCTTGGAATTCTATGAAATATGTTGCGTGCCTTATTCTGTGAAAGAAGCCACATCATCTCACCGAAGGATTTATTTCAAACACTCGACTGATGTTATGAAATGAGTTTGGAGTAAAAACATGTTATTAAATGTGTTTTTTCATGTGCTTTCATATGGAGCAGCATTTACTACACAGAGCCGTAGTTCACTGATAAGCTATGCAAATAGCTTTCATAATTCGCAGAACGATTTCTTCGATTTCATAATCGCGTGATTAAATTGTCTACGATTATGAACACAATTTTGCGTAGCTTGTCAGTGAACTACGGCTCTGTGTAGTAAAAGCTGCTGCATCTGAAAGCAGGTGATGGATATTTACTACTAATCACAGAACCGGCTTTACTGACAAAATACGCATGACAATCACATTCGATTAATCGTGCAGCCCTAGTATAAGCTATAACTGAGTTTAAGTTTGCGTTCTTTTATGCACTTTTTTTATAAAAATGTTTACGTTGCTTTTAATCTTGCCTATTTTTGTCCATTTCGGGTGTTCTTGCTTATAAATACATGTTCGCCTTTTATTACCGTATTACTGCTGCCTGTGTTTTTACTGTAGTAATTTGCTATGTGATTTTCCAACCTAATTTGGGGTTCCTTTTTGACCCAGAGCTTTTTTTAGTGTATTGTTGAAATAATAACAGAATGTACTTCATGTATTTTTTACAGTAAATGGCTGTAAAGTAATTTCACAGTATTAGTACCATAGAATTACAGTATATTGCTGGCAACTCTGCTGGCAGTATTTTACTGAAAAAAAAAAAAAAAATACTGGAAACTACTGTATTTCATTTTTACGGTAATACGCTGTAAAGCAGTTTCACAGTATTCATACCGTATAATTAATTACAGTAGATTGCTGGCAACTCTGCTGCCAGTATTTTACCGTTACTTTACAGATAATTTTTTTTAGAAGTCCCTACTCTGCTGTATTCATGTTTTTCAGATCTTTTGGACATTATGGAGTCTATGGTCTGCCAGTGCACTCATTACATGCACACACAGACACATCAGTAGTGCAAGAGGAAGTGAGTCAGTCCCTGTTGATTTCAGTATCTCTCTCTGTAGCTGTGGTAACATGAGGTTGTCATAGAGACTGGTTCCGGTGTCTGCTTGTTTGAGGGAATGAGTGCGTGACATAGTGGGAGAAAAAGAAACTCCACTGTATACATAGTGGGCAGGTAAGTTCAAAGATATTCAGAGTCTTGGCCATTTATACTACCGTTTATACCCGGTTCAGATGTCCTGATTTGTCCTGCTGTAACATCAGATCTTTACAGTATGACTGCACTTTAATAAATCAGCTAAAACACCAACACCGTTGCTATCCTTGATGTCATCCATCAGGCTTTTGCCTGGAGGACGAGAGAAAGTTTCTTTCTCGGGCCTTGTTGAGCTGACAGTATTTGCCCTCAGGCTTGATTCAGAAATGCTGGAATGCTTGGAGTTTGCAGTGATCATGACGTGCAGCAGTCTTTTTTTTTTTACAAAATACAAAAACACCACCCGATTACTTGTCACATTTGTTCTTAAACATTATTGGTTGTTAAAATTTTAAAACACAATTTAATTTAACTGTATAAGCTAGGGCTGCACGATTAATCAAAATTAAATCGCAAAGGTGATAAATCACGATTAGGCAGAAGCTGCGATTGTCATGCTTATCTTTCAGTGAAGCACAGTTCTGTGATCAGCAGTAAATCTCCATCCGAAGGCCAGAGGGCGCTCTCGCACGGAAACTCCAAATACGCCTGCTGAAGAAACCCAGGAAATCCCTATAGCGGTTGCTGAATAAACAGAAGATTTAACTGCTTTCATTAATTCAACGTGATTAATAAACACGACTTTGACAATATATGGTTTATCTGAGTTTGTTTTATTATTATTGTTATTATAATAAAGTATTTAATAATGCAATGCTAATCGACATAGCCTTTATCACTGCTTGGAATTCTATGAAATATGTTGCGTGCCTTATTCTGTGAAAGAAGCCACATCTCACCGAAGGATTTATTTCAAACACTCGACTGATGTTATGAAATGAGTTTGGAGTAAAAACATGTTATTAAATGTGTTTTTTCATGTGCTTTCATATGGAGCAGCATTTACTACACAGAGCCGTAGTTCACTGATAAGCTATGCAAATAGCTTTCATAATTCGCAGAACGATTTCTTCGATTTCATAATCGCGTGATTAAATTGTCTACGATTATGAACACAATTTTGCGTAGCTTGTCAGTGAACTACGGCTCTGTGTAGTAAAAGCTGCTGCATCTGAAAGCAGGTGATGGATATTTACTACTAATCACAGAACCGGCTTTACTGACAAAATACGCATGACAATCACATTCGATTAATCGTGCAGCCCTAGTATAAGCTATAACTGAGTTTAAGTTTGCGTTCTTTTATGCACTTTTTTTATAAAAATGTTTACGTTGCTTTTAATCTTGCCTATTTTTGTCCATTTCGGGTGTTCTTGCTTATAAATACATGTTCGCCTTTTATTACCGTATTACTGCTGCCTGTGTTTTTACTGTAGTAATTTGCTATGTGATTTTCCAACCTAATTTGGGGTTCCTTTTTGACCCAGAGCTTTTTTTAGTGTATTGTTGAAATAATAACAGAATGTACTTCATGTATTTTTTACAGTAAATGGCTGTAAAGTAATTTCACAGTATTAGTACCATAGAATTACAGTATATTGCTGGCAACTCTGCTGGCAGTATTTTACTGAAAAAAAAAAAAAAATACTGGAAACTACTGTATTTCATTTTTACGGTAATACGCTGTAAAGCAGTTTCACAGTATTCATACCGTATAATTAATTACAGTAGATTGCTGGCAACTCTGCTGCCAGTATTTTACCGTTACTTTACAGATAATTTTTTTTAGAAGTCCCTACTCTGCTGTATTCATGTTTTTCAGATCTTTTGGACATTATGGAGTCTATGGTCTGCCAGTGCACTCATTACATGCACACACAGACACATCAGTAGTGCAAGAGGAAGTGAGTCAGTCCCTGTTGATTTCAGTATCTCTCTCTGTAGCTGTGGTAACATGAGGTTGTCATAGAGACTGGTTCCGGTGTCTGCTTGTTTGAGGGAATGAGTGCGTGACATAGTGGGAGAAAAAGAAACTCCACTGTATACATAGTGGGCAGGTAAGTTCAAAGATATTCAGAGTCTTGGCCATTTATACTACCGTTTATACCCGGTTCAGATGTCCTGATTTGTCCTGCTGTAACATCAGATCTTTACAGTATGACTGCACTTTAATAAATCAGCTAAAACACCAACACCGTTGCTATCCTTGATGTCATCCATCAGGCTTTTGCCTGGAGGACGAGAGAAAGTTTCTTTCTCGGGCCTTGTTGAGCTGACAGTATTTGCCCTCAGGCTTGATTCAGAAATGCTGGAATGCTTGGAGTTTGCAGTGATCATGACGTGCAGCAGTCTGTGGTATGATGGGAATTTCACAGTGTCTGAAAGCAAATGGTTGTGAATTTGTGTTAGTTGTTAGAATACCACAGCGCAGATAATTCCAAACCGGCTTTTATCGTTCGTTTATTTCCATATCACTGTCTGCTATAAAGCCTGAAGTCCTGCTCTGTATGATGATGTGCTCAAGTGAATTGTGTGTGTCTCTGAGCAATGCAATGCAAATTCTGCACCTACAGCATTTTATCCTCTCTATTTCCATCCGTGACTGTCAACTGTGCCATTTTTTTAGTTTACACTTAAGAAAAATGGTTCTAAACCAGATTAGGGTTCTTCTGCTTGTAACAATAGCAGAACCTTACAAGGTTCCAGAGGACCATGCTTTTAAAGTGCTGTAAACCTAAATACTAGTTAATATTAGTTTTCATATTTAAACACATTTTGTTTTTTAACCTCTTAATTTGCCTGGTCTGTTAATTCCGTGTAGCCTCCATTAGAGTTACATGAATAAAACTGACAGCAAGTCGTGCCAATTAGGATCTTTTATTTTGCATTGACATAAGAAGTTGTACCAAAAATGAATAATTACATTAAAAAAAACCCACACAAAATAGATGAAGACAAAGTTCCAGTGAAATATCTTAGTTTTTCTAATATTCACAGATGATGATGTTGTGGGATGGGGCAGCATCTGTCTGTGTAGAAATACACATTTTAGTTACAGTGTGTCTCTCTTCCATTTGTTTAAAAGCAATTATGTTTATGAAGGCCAAAATTACCCATTGTGAATGGA